AGTCTCTCACAACTTGTACCACTTACTATAGTGAGCTATAGTCTCTCACAACTTGTACACTTACTATAGTGAGCTATAGTCTCTCACAACTTGTATACTTACTATAGTGAGCTATAGCATTGCTTTCAAATATGGACTTGTTATCTGATGTTTCAAATGCTGGAACCTTCAATAAGAGAAAAAAAAATACTGATTACTATCAAACACAACATTTTCTAAAAACCCTAAAATGAAATGTGTATGTATGCTTCTAAGTCAATAACTGCTACATCTGGACACACAACACAGTTTAATGTTAGGTTTAACCCCCAACAAAATTTAATATTAAGTTTCATAATTTTCAAGAGCAAATCCTTATATATTTGAAATTCTTAAGAATTTTCATTCTTGACAATACTAGAATCAGCAGAAAAGTAGCCATACTGGTTTCTGTATACCTGCATATACAAGACTTGACACTTCTATTGATATGTTGGTATCATTTAGTCGTATCTTAAGATTATTAGTAACAGCCATACTGAAACTAGTCTTATATTAAACCTAAAATGTTTCCAAATGAAGATAAGGTTCTATAAAAATCCTTAAGTTTCGATAAATTACAAAAAGTGCTTCTCTATAGCTCATGTCAATTTTCTCTTGTAATAAAGAGCTAATTTACTGTAAAGATATCTATGCAAGATGGATATTTTTTGTGAGGCCAACATACTACATATTAAAGTTTAATCATGTTGGATCAATCTTAAGTCATGCTTCTAGCTTCAATGTTAAAAGCAACATGACAGATTCAGTTTCTTTTTCTCCAAGTTTTACACCACAGACACAGGAAATATTCTGGGATGCCTTTGAATGGAGATTAAAGAACTCAAGAACTTGAAAGTCACTAGCATCAGAAATAATTCCTTACAGAGTAATGAAATCCTTAGTCTTCAAATCTACAATGGTAGAGTGAGGTCAGAATGACCCATGTAGTTTTTCATTTCTCAAGACAATATTCTCACGCGGCTAGTGCTGCTCTCTACCAGATAATATCTGTACTCTATCTTCAATCAGTTATTGAGTGTTGAGCAAAGGAAGTGTGCCATTTCAGTTCTCTTTGTTACTATTGTAACATTGTGTTTGTCATTCGTGGGTTATTGTCATTTATGGGTTAACCTGTAATGTCTGAACACATAACCAATTCTCCATCCTTACAAATCCTTTGTAATTAAACAATTTTCCAATTTCAAAAAACCTGACACAACTTGAGTAAAATTTGTATTTTACATAATTTAATAATAGTGATACATACACATCAATACTACACAACTAAACCTAGATATCCATTCAGTCAAAACTATCTGCTACTACTTCTACACAAGTATAATTTTCACAAGTTATAAGTTTTGCACGTTCAATCTAAGCATTCCCCATATCATAAATTTAACAATAAATTTTAAATGGATAATAAAGCAAATTATACTTTAGTAATGACCAAATATTAAAATTTAAAGGAAAGTAATCTAGCTGTTGTACTTATAGTTCCAACTATCAAGTCTAGTCAAAAGTACCGTATTTGTTTTGGGGAATAGGATGATAAAAAAATAATTACTTAATTTGTGTGTGTGAACAAAGCTCATTGATTTGTAAATTGTATTTTTAACTATTGAATTTGAAGTTTAACTTTTCGATTTTCATAACGTGTATGTTATACCAAGAATAAACTCTTGATGATCTTCAAAAAATATATCAACCATCACAAACCTTTCCTAACGGAAACTTTTTTCGAAATTCTTCCGATTTATTGGTTTCTCCAAAAACAAATTCGGGTGGGCCATTCACAACTCTGACTTGTGCACCACTGTACTCTGCTGCAATAAGGGCTTTAAACGCTCTGAAATTCCCAGCATATGTATAAAGGGTCTGAAAAATAATCAAATAAATATTAAGTTATACAATAAAATGTTATTTAACTTATTTCAAAGTATCATTAATAAATCAATAAGTACGATTACACTGGATATATAAATTACTCTACACGCACAACCCACACTTACACCAGACGCCATGTCTGCCACTGCGAAAGGAATTGACATCGCCGAAAAAACCAAGTTTTGCTCGATAATTCTATCCCATCATGCCACACATATTGGTAATATTTAACGTTTAATTAATTTTTATTAAGGTAGATTAAACGTAATTATTTCTAAAAATATTTCTAACGATTTGTATTTGAGAAAACAAAAGTATGTATATTATTACTATTACACACGAACAAAAACATTTGACTTGTATTATTTTGTAATTTTATTAAATCATAATTACAATTGTTTTTATTTATGATTAAACAACAATATTCTTGAAAGATGTGATATGACTTAAAATCAGCGAAACTAATGCATAATTATGTTTGAAAAAGAAACGAAAAGAAATAAATAATTTTAATCAAAAGAGGATAATAGTGTATAAGAACCTTATTCCTTCCAAATGAGTTAGAAATGCGCTTCTTAGATTGTTCATTCAAGTTGGGACCACAACAGAAAAAAATTGTAGCCTAATCCATTAAGATATTTATATAGTTTCTTGTTATTCATAAAAGAACAAATACAAAAAACATAAATATCCTTGAAGCCTAATTAGAATAAACTTATTAAAAGCAATAAAATAAAATAATTATTATTATTCAAAT